CATGTAGTACTGGATGTGTCCCATCTCGTGGTGGATTACAATCAAGTCATTCATATTGATCTCGGTACACATTTTTATCCTATTTATCAATCATTTTATTTAACTGACTACTAATGACTTGACTGACTATACCTAAAATCATCACCAGTTTTGGCGTAGAAATCCCAGGCGGAAGAATTCATATTGATCTCGGTACACATTTTTATCCTATTTATCAATCATTTTATTTAACTGACTACTAATGACTTGACTGACTATACCTAAAATCATCACCAGTTTTGGCGTAGAAATCCCAGGCGGAAGCATGGCTATATATATATAAATTAATTTAATTCTCATCAATTTTATGGTTAATATTTCTAGATTTATAATATGTATGTTTCACCAAGCAACTACTAACCAGACCATTTCTTTGTCTTTGGCTTTCTCTATGATGGACTTCTGCCAGAAAGTGTCGGTCACTTTCATGAGTCCCAATTCACTAAAGAATTTGTCCGACAATTCAAACATTCGTTTCGCCGTATAATTCTGGGTTTAATTGTAATTATTATAAAAGGTACATTTAATTTATTGAAAATATATAAAAGTATTAATATTATTATAATATTATTAACTTATTATACTTGTTTCACTAATTCCTTTGTCACGTCAATGGTCTGTACGCCGGGATATGGATCAACGCCGGGCACCGTATTCATGATATTATTCCACTCTTGAGCCCACATATTGCCCAAAATGTGCGCGGGTATTGTCTTATCTTTAGGCATTTTGCCGGGATATGCTTTCCTCAAATGTTTCCTAACATATGCGTGAAGTTTCGCATAGAAAGGCATCATTTCTAGCAATAGATTCTCCGTTTGATTCTTAATATCCGGCGTTTCCCACGAAAATAGCCACAAGTCGTCCAAAGTCTCAAACTCTATGTTATGGTAATTCATATTTAAAAACAAACACAACAATCGCGAGGGTTTTGTATGGAGTGATGTTATAATAAGTAGTAATACTCATATTTGGCAGTTCATTAAGTTTGGCCGCTTTATTGCCTAAATTATAATAAGATATGAAATCTCTCCTCATTTTCTTGCCGGTAACGTCCCTCCAGTTAACCCACGCCTGCCTGAGTTCGTTGTAATTCTTAGATTCACTCATTATTTTCGTTAGATCTCGTTAAATCTATCCGACAAAAGTTGTCAAAATTAAACAACTCTATCAATATTTATAATCAAAAATGTCTAATCAATGTAGGTTTGAAAATAATAAATATACCTGGATCCAATTCAAGCATGCAATTTCCACTAACACACACTTTGGCTGTGCTGTAAATCTTTTCCATGTTATTCGTAGCTTTAATGAACTAATAATGAGAAAATCGATTCAAAATTAAAACATTATGTTTGTCAAAAACTAATAACTTGTAAATTTTTATATAATATTGAGGAATACCCTCTTCTCGTCGGCAGAGTTGAGGGCAGAGATGCCGATAACTGCCAACTTCTCAAACTGTCTCCTATTATATGGTATAAAGTGAGTCCAGTCGTACCTTTTAGTCTCAATCGACTGTTGCTTTTGAAATGCATTCAATTCTTTGGTCAGTTTAACCTATTATTTTGCAAACAATTATTTTTTCGGGCATTAGTTTAAAGTCAATGAATACCCACTTTAGCCTCCAAATTCATTTCATTGATATCTGAAACGTGAGCCCAATTCACCTCGAATATTTTGTTATTCCAAGCCAGCAGTTTTGCGTCCACATCGCCAAGGTATGCCGTCCCCTCCTTTTCATCTCTTATTAACCCCTCTTTGGTCTTTGTGTTGTTAATGGACTCAACATTTGTATGAATTGTTATTAAAAACAATATAAAAAGTTTCATTTTTAAATAATTAACAAATTCATTTATTTATATTTATAAATTACATAACATATTGAATATAATATAATTAGTATTTACACATAAATGTCACAAACAGCATTAAAATATTTTTCATTTTTTATAATCTAAGAATTTGCATAACTATAAATACTAGAATTATGTAATTAATTTGAATACAATTTAGCCAATTGTTACATTAATATTGCATTTACAATATTATTAAAATACATCTGGGAATCCAGGTGTAAAATCAAATGTCTATATATATTTAGTATAAAAATTATAAGATTATAATAATAAAATAATTGTTTAAATTAACATCATTGTCAAATCAGGGAACATTTGTTTTTATTAATGTTAATAAATCTAAAGCTATTTTAATTAGTTTTAAATTTATTATTATAGTTTAACTACTTAATGAAAAATATATTGAGACTGAAATGAAAACTGCGCTTAATTTGCAATTAATTTTAAAATATATTATAATTAAAATATTCATATACTTGTAATAAATTTCAATCTAATTTGTTATTTATAAGATAGAAATTATACCATTAATAGTAAAGGTATAATACTGAATGATGTAAAAAATAATTTTTAAATATAAAATTTTTAAATTTACAGTATATTTATTTTAAAATATGTCCCTAGATTCACTCATTATTTTCGTCAAATCTATTTATGAAAAGGTGTTCAAACCAAATAATATATATAATTTTAAATGTTTAATCAATGTAGGAATCAATCAAGTGCTGAATATATACCTGGCTCCAATGCAAGAGCACATTTGCCATTAACACACACTTCAATGTACTGGTAATTCAAATATCAATTATTGGTATTACTTAAAAATTTAAGAATTGTATATTTGTTCAATGTCATTTAAGATGTTTTTCTATAACTTATTTTTATTTATCAGAGAAATGGTTTGGAAGTATAGAAAGTTTTAGAAATCATTGAAAAGAGAATTTGTCTGAAAAGGGGGCCACCGGGGGATCGAACCCCGGATCTACTGATTACATGTCAGGCGTTTAACCACTAGATCACACCGAACCCTATTAAACCAAACTCTCTCTCTCTCTCTCTCTCTCTCTCTCTCTCTCTCTCTCTTATGTGATATTTAAAGGCATTACTATAGATTCAAAATTAATTAATTGTAAATTTTTATATAATATTGAGGAATACCTTTTTCTCGTCCTCTGAGTTGAGGGCAGAGGTGCCGATAACTGCCATCTTCTCAAACTGTCTCCTATTATATGGTGTAAAGTGAGTGCAGTCGTACTTTTTAAACTCAATCCCCAGTTGCTTATTGAATGCATTCAATTCTTTGGTTATTTTGACCTAAAAGTAATGAATTTAATTGTGGAAAATAAGTTGTAAAGCCATTCAATACATACTTGTGCCTCAAAGTTCTTGTCATTAATTTCTGAACCGTAAGCCCAATCAACCTTGCTCTTCTTGTTATTCCAGATATGATATTTTGCCTCCACATCGCCCAGGTATGCCATCGCCTGCTTTTCATTTCTTATTAACCCCTCTTTGGTTATCGTGTTGTTAATGGACTCAACATTTGTATGAATTGTTATTAAAAACAATATAAGAAGCTTCATTTTTAATTAATTAACAATCCAATTTATTTTTTAATTACTTAAATATACTTTAATAATTTAATATGTGAATGTCACAAATTTCATTAAAATACTTGTTATTTTGTATAACCTAGGAGTATAATTTAAAGGCTATGGTCGGTTTATTTAGTTAATTAGAAAACAATTTAGCCGATTCTTACATTAATGTTGAATATACAATATTAATAAAATATATCTGGGAATCCAGGTGTCCAAACAATTTAAATTATTAATTTTATTTTTATAGAAGTAGTATAAAAAAATATAAAAATTAAGATTTAAATAATATTTTTATATTATCCATTAAATATTTAAAATCACTGAACATTATCTCTCATTATTATTAATAAATTTAATATACTTGTATTTTACACTTATTATCAGCAAATTAAGGATCCGGTAGTTAAGGGAAATTACCTTTTTGACTTATTTTTTACCATATTTTATTTATTTTAGAAATAACATTATGTCAATTAGACTGAAAAATCCCATCTAGCAATTTGAAAACTATTATTCTTTAAAGATATTAATTATGGGTCAATATTTCAATAGTAAAGGGGCAATAAAAGGATTAAATTTTATATTAATCATTTATTCTAAGGTTTACCTGTTTAGTTTTTTTACTCAATTTGCTACCTGAAACTGAGGTTTCTACTTATTATTATCGTGTAATTTGTATGTAATCTTAATTAATGTAAAAGAAATATAGAGATTGATATGAAGACTGCGCTCATTATAAGAGACATTGAAGTGATTGCATGTTTGGCGTCATCGGTTGTCGGGGAAGTAGGCGATGAAGTGGTCGGGGGAGTAGTGGGACCAGTAGAGGGAGTGTTGGGAACAGTAGGGGGAGTAGTGGGAACAGTAGGGGGAGTAGTGGGAACAGTAGGGGGAACAGTAGGGGGAACAGTAGGGGGAACAGTAGAGGGAGTGCTGGGAACAGTGGATGGAGTAGTTGGAGCACTGGATGGAGTAGTTGGAGCACTGGTAACCGGATCATTATCAAAGTAATCGTCAACTAAATTAAGAAAATCATAAATTGTTATTAGAAATATAGAAATTATTTATTACTACTACATTATGGCAATGTAAGAGTATTTCACATTGTTACTTAAATCATAATACAGCATTAAAATAATTAAAATATTTCAGTGATTGACTATAGAGTTAAATAAAAATATATGATTACCATTGAAAGTCCAGCCTAACTGTTCTCCGACTACCTGCCCGTCCAGAAATGTCTGTAAAGGTTTAAAATACTCGAGCAATGAGTCGACTTCCATGTCTTTATTGCCCGTCAAGAGCTCCAACTGTTCGGGCCATGGCTTGGATGAGCCCAAGACTAACATCTCTCTAATTGATTTGATAACTAGTTTTATCAAATATATCAACAATTTTCAAATAAACACTGACTTTAGTTTAGCGCCGGCAGTCGTATCGCCGTCGATATCGCACTCATGGAGGGCAACATCCTTTTGACTGAAAGCACACAAGGCTTTATGGAACTGGAACTGTAGTAAATGCGATACAAAGTATCTAAAAATAATATACAGCATCATTATTTAGCTAGAAATATTGATTGCAAATCGGTTATTTACATGTATATAACAATATCAATACCTAATATATTCAACACTGGCTGGAATGTGGTATTTGGCACCGGGATCAAAGTCATACTCGCTTCGTTTTACAGGTGGCGACAAACCCTGATATGCGCCCCTCAGTTCCCACCAGTGTTTGTTTAAATTGGCTGAAGATGTGGTGCCGGAGAAGACATCCCACCGATATTTATCCATAATGAACCCAAATGGCAAAAATGCCAGTTTATCCAAAGCCATCTTAAGCTGGTATATTCCCACCAGTGTTTGTTTAAATTGGCTGAAGATGTGGTGCCGGAGAAGAGTAGGGTGGCTATAAATAGGTATTACTTGGGTTTACCGTTTTTACGGTCAAATAGGTTTCGGTAGAATTCGACCATAAACTATAATTAAAAGAGGTATAGGTGGCTAAGTAGGTCTCAATTCTCTGGGATCTTCTGGAGATGTGCCGGCGTTGACACAGACAGTGCCAACAGATCACCAATTGCTTCGTGGAAACCTAAAATATAATATTTTAAATAATTAGTGTTAAATTAAATTATTAATATTTTGATGATTTATATAAATTATGAATAATAGACATAGTGTTCAAAACCAGACCTGCATTGGCGCCGTCCCTATAGATAACGGGTTGGGTCTTATATTGCATGAAGTACTCGATGTGTCCCATTTCGTGGTGAATGGTGATCAGGTCCTCCATATTAATGTTAGTGCACTGTTTGATACGGAAGTCATCCCCGGCTGTGGCGTAGAAATCCCAGGCGGATGCGTGACTGCAAATAATTTACAACCAAATAAAATACAGTAATAGAAAATGATTATGTAGTGACAAACTAACCAGACCATTTCCACATTTGGTTTCTTTTCAATAACAGATTTATCCCAAAAAGTTTGTGTCATTTTGTCGAGACCTAAATCGCCAAAGAATTTGTCCGACAAATCAAACATTTTCTTAGCGTCGTATCCCTTATAATAGTAGTCAATTGGATAATAGATATAAAAGTAGTATGCTTAAAATAATTTTCTTTATTATAAAAGGTTAAATAAAATACTTGTTTCACTAATTCGGCGGTCACATCAATGGTAGTAACATCAGGGTATGGATCGACACCGGGAACGGTATTCATAATATTGCTCCATTGTTGAGCCCACATATTGCCCAATAAGTGGGCCGGTATTGTACCGTCTTTTGGCATTATATCAGGGTACGTTACTTTCAATTGCTTTCTCACATACGCGTGAAGTTTCTCGTAAAAGGGCTTTAATTTTTGCGTGTTCAGAAGTCAAACAACAAACTATAGGCCACAGAGGGTGCCCTTCTCGGTATTGAGTAGGTTACACTTAAAGCCTAAAATTATTTTAATTATAAAGCAATTTGTATAAAACGTTATGATTTACAAACTTGTATCGGGCAGTTTGTTGAGAGTGGCCGCTTTGTTGCCTAAAGTGTAATACTCTATGAAATCGTTTCTCATTTTCTTTCCGGAGGCGTCTCTCCAGTTGACCCACGCCTCCTCTAACTCTGTCGGGTCTTTCGAATCGGCCATTATTTTATCCAAATCTTTAAAATCATATTAAATAGGAATGTGAGCATGGTTATTTACCAATCATAATGAATACCTGGATCCAATTCGAGATCACACTTCCCTTTGACACATACTCTGGCGGTGCTGTACGTCGTCTCCATATTACCCGTCGCTTTCAGATACTATTGAATTAATTTTTAATTTATTATTTAATTAATAAAAGATATTATTTAATTGAATTGAATTACATTTGTCTCGTCCTCCCCTTCCAGAGCTGACGTCCCAATGACCGCCAATTTCTCAAATTACCTTTTCAGCCCAATTAGCGTCAATCAAATCAAATGCAATCTTTTCGTAATTATAGTCTATTTTAAACTGTTTCATTTGGTTCATAGGCACCAATAGTTTGAACATATTTTGTTTGTTATTAAATGAATCAAATGTGAAATGAACCTGGAAACAATTTGTAAGGATTTATAAAATTTCCAAAATATAAAATTAATTTAAAAATACAACTCACATTATTCTTGATACAATTATTCCATACAAAGCGAATAATTATATACTTCTCTAGCGGGACATAAATATACACAATATTATAGTCATTAAAATCTGTTATCTCCTCAGATCTAAGGCATACTAAACATAAAATTATAACCAAAGCAATGGAAACAGTTTGCATTTTGACTGAAAACTATGTTTATTATTACATCAAATATTTATTTTAGCAATTTGTTATTATATAATATGATTTGATGTGTTATTAACACATTATTAAGTTGATTGAATGTTCAATCCTGAAAATGACTACAAAACTTTAGATACTAGGAAACAGTTTGAATTACTTCCAGAAATGCATATATAAATCAGTGCCTTTAAAAAGGTTATGATTATTATATTAATAATTAATCATTGACTTACTCTGAACAAGCAAAATATTTTAACAAACAATTGGCTTCATTTTGAATTGAAAGCTTGGGCATAATATTTGATTGGTGTTAAGCTATTTAAAAATTTAAATTATATTCATTGATTTAGATTAAACAAATTTTTATTAAAATTTATGACATGCAAAGCGAATGACAAAATTAATATGAGCTGAATATAGTGTAAAAAAGCTTCAACTGATACTTAGATAATGGCTTTAATTCAGTGAAATTTAAATGAGAATTTATTGACACAAATAAATACACAAAAACCTCATTTATTTCATTGATATAAATTAATGTAATTTTCTATGAATATTAAATTATATAGCACTTTATTATAAAAATCAAATAAAAACTTAGTTAAATTATATTTGTTGCTCAGAATCCTATATAATACAAATATTATTAAATATTGAGGACTTAATACTCGTGAAATATTATTTACGCTTACTAGTAATAGGTTTATAATAATATACTGTATTAAAATAGATTATATGTATAACTTATATTAAACTAGTAGCTCTACAATAATATTTGTGGTCTGGAATAATTATGACAATATTTATAAATTATAATCTTATATTATTACATTTATTTTCATAAGCAGATTCACTGATTTGTTAGATTCTATGTTTGTTAATTAAGACATGAAATTATTGTTTATCATATTGATTTAACAGTATGTCATATTGATATAAATAATTGAGCAGTATGAAATAAGCAATAAAATGGAGAAATAATGTGCGTCTGACTAATGTAGGAACGGGATGTTCCTAAGACATTATGTATCCAAAGAGTGCCATAAGTCAATATACTGTTAACTATCGCTATTATAAAATTATAAACATTTTGTATCATATACCATATAAGTGCATACAGTATAAATATAATACGAAATTTAATGGAAATTATTATATTAACATCAGAATTAATGAAATAGTTTATTACCGTAATTGATAAGGTACATTGATGTTTCAGGTAAATAAGATACATAAGGTACATAATGTACTATTAAGTAATGTTTAATTTTAATGTGCTAAATTATAATAATAAAAATTGTTGAATTATAATAATATTCTTAAAAATATAATTCTTACATATTAAAATTTTAGTTTTATTTAAAACCCATATCAAAGTAATAATGAATTAAATAAAATTTCATTAAAAACTTAAATGAATTTATTAAATAATAATTTAATTTAAAGTTAATTTAAAGTCTAATTTACTGTAAATAAATTAAGTTAACTTTTAAATAGGATTCATGTAAATGATATATTATTTGAATAAACGTACACAGTGATTTAATTTTAAAATCTGTATAAAACAATATATTAATTACTGTATTATTAAAAAACATTTTTAACCATAAAAATAGATTATAGCATCAGGTTCTATTCATTTGAAAATATATTTGAGCAAATGTTAAAAGTGTCAAAATGTCAGACTGTATACATAGAAATTTTTTAAAATTCAAACCTAATTTTATTTTGTATATTCATTTCGATGCTCATAGTGTATCTATAATTAATATTCATTTACTTCACATTTTAATAAAAACATTGTAAAAATTGTTAGTCATTTAAAACAAATAAGAACTTTGCGCAGGTAAAGTAAATTTAAGATTTAAACTACACTAGATACTGTATATGAATTTATGAATAAAATAATAAATATCAAAATATCTTTACTTAGAATTTTATTTGCCTGTCATATCAAACCTGCATAATCTGAAAACATCATAAAACACACTTTAATGTACACGGTCCTTTAGTACTTACTCTACGGTAGTGTAATCAAATATTAAATTCTTATACAGGTAGACTAATAGTATAATTATTTAATAAATAGTTATAAAACAATAATGGAATCCAGGTATCATATTATATAATTATATAGATAGTAGATTTGATAATTATTGACACTATTCTATAAAAATTATAACAGGTATGTTTTATTTTCAATTCTAGACATTAATACATCTTTAGGTCTCATTGAGTGTGTATTTGAGACAGTTTTGCCATTTATTTGACTATTAATTCATTATTAGATTGAATTAATAATGAAAATATCAATATATTTGTTGGTCATATCAATCATATATTTGCGGATTGAGTGCAAAACTGTGCCAAAAGACGATGACTTGATTACGGATGAAGAAGAAGGCAAACAATATCTGTTAGACGCGAATGAGAAGCTGAGGGTTGAGATGAATAAGCACTCGACCGCTGAGTGGAACTATGCCACTGATATCAATGACCAGACATCCGCTGAAAGGGTATTCAAATCAGCCACTAATTGAAAAATAAATCAAATTTTAATTTATGATTATTTGCAAACTTAAGGATACAGTGACTGAAGCTTTCAATGCATTTCAAAAGCAGGCGTCAATTGATACCAAAAAGTATGATTGGAGTGGTTTTGAAGAGCAATATAAAAGACAGTTTGAGAAAATGGCGGTAATCGGGACGTCCGCTCTGGAGGGCGACGACGAGAAAAATGTAAACTTTGTTTCATAAATACAGATAGAAATTAATACATAATTTAATGAATAAATAGTACATCAAAGTGACCGGGAATATGGAGACGACTTATAGCACTGCCAAAGTGTGTGTCAGTGGAAAGTGTGATCTCGAATTGGATCCAGGTATAAATGCTGATATAATTATTATGAAATGATCATTGAGATCATAATAATTATATGAATTTACAGATTTGGATAAAATAATGGCCGAATCGAAAGACCCGACAGAGTTAGAGGAGGCGTGGGTTAACTGGAGGGACGCCTCCGGAAAGAAAATGAGAAACGATTTCATAGAGTATTACACTTTAGGCAACAAAGCGGCCACTCTTAACAAACTGCCCGATAAAGGTACTCATCATTTAATTGACCTTGCTTATTAAATCTCATAATTTTATTGTAACATTAATACCAGAATTCAAGACTTTGGACGACTTGTGGCTGTTCTCATGGGAAACGCCAGATATTAAACAACAAACTCAGGAACTGATGGATCAGTTGAAGCCTTTTTATGTGAAACTTCACGCGTATGTGAGAAAGCATTTGAAGGCAGCCTATCCCGATGTCATGCCGGCTGATGGCACTATACCCGCACACCTATTGGGTAATATGTGGGCTCAATCGTGGAGTAATACTATGAATACCGTTCCCGGTGTCGACCCATACCCTGATGTTACTACCATTGATGTGACATCATGCCGGCTGATGGCACTATACCCGCACACCTATTGGGTAATATGTGGGCTCAATCGTGGAGTAATACTATGAATACCGTTCCCGGTGTCGACCCATACCCTGATGTTACTACCATTGATGTGACTGAAGAATTAGTGAAACAAGTATTGAATTGTTCATTATTTGAATATGAAAATAACTTTTAAACTCTTTAATAGCAATACACAGCAAAACGAATGTTTGATTTGTCGGACAAATTCTTTGGTGATTTAGGTCTCGACAAAATGACACAAACTTTTTGGGATAAATCCGTTATTGAAAAGCCAGCCGATAAGCAAATGGTTTGGTATGTCATTGTCTTTGCTTATATTATTATAATAATTATTAATTACACATTTATTTTTATTTTTAAAACTAAAATTATTTATGCATACAAATATGATTAAATACCTAAAGAATTAACAAAACACATGAATTGTTCACTTCAGTCACGCCTCGGCCTGGGATTTCACAGCGGCATCGGGTGATGACTTCCGTATCAAACAGTGCACTAACATTAATATGGAGGACCTGATCACCATTCACCACGAGATGGGACACGTCGAGTACTATATGCAGTATAAAACACTACCTGTTGTTTATCGCGAGGGAGCTAATCCAGGTTTAGTTTAGACATTCATTATTATTCTATAAATTATATCATTATAATATCATTTTATTAAAAGGTTTTCACGAAGCAATTGGTGATCTGTTGGCACTGTCTGTGTCAACACCGGCACATCTTAAAAAGATTGGTCTCTTAACTCTCGATGGATCGGTGGATATGGAGAAAATTAATATCAAATACCAGCTTAAGATGGCTTTGGATAAACTGGCATTTTTACCATTTGGGTTCATCATGGATAAATATCGGTGGGATGTCTTCTCCGGCACCACATCTTCAGCCAATTTAAACAAACACTGGTGGGAATTGAGAGGTGAATACCAGGGTGTGTCACCGCCTGTGAAGCGAAGCGAGAATGACTTTGATCCCGGTGCCAAGTATCACGTGCCAGCCAGTGTTGAATATATTAGGTTTGAATTGTTTTATATATTTCAAAATTGAAAACAAATAAATTATTAATATTTTTAATTAACTCAATATACTGTATTTGCAGATATTTTGTATCCCATATCCTACAGTTCCAGTTTCATAAAACTTTGTGTGGTTTCAGTCAAAAGGCTGTCCCCCTGCATGAGTGCGATATCGATGCTGATAAGGAAGCCGGTGCTAAACTAAAGTTAGTTTAAACCCATTATTTACAGTAAAAAAACAGTAATTAAAGTGAATTATTGTAACTTCTTAGAGATATGTTGGCAGTGGGCTCATTAGTGAAATGGCCAGATATATTAAAACAGATGACTGGAACTGACAAAATGGATATCAATCCACTTCTGGAGTACTTTAAACCATTGCAAGACTTTTTAGATAAAGAGTTAGAGGGCGTAGAAACTGGCTGGACATTTGATGGTAATCCCTACTTGTTAACATATAAATAGAATTATATATACAAATATACAATATATTGATAATACTGTATACTTTTTAGTTGATAACCACTTTTTAATAACCGATGAGACGCAAGGAAAGACATATTTAACAGAAGTTGACTCAAAACTACGACAACAAATGGAGACCAATACGGAGGCTCAATGGGCTTATGCCGTAGATATCAATGAGAACACTGCGGCAGCAAGGGTATTTACTACTGACATGTTTATCAATTAATAAATATATTGTCATAAATGATTCAGATAACTGTAATTGATGTCACCTTTACTGCTGAATGAACCTACCTGTCCGTTACTAACATACTCGAGACGTTTTTAAACTATCCTAATGTCACGTAATATCCTGTGTTTAAGTCTAATTTACTGTATTTAAGACCTCTGTATGTGTTTATCCCTAAGTTCTCATTTGTAATATTTAATACTCTACTGTATGTGTGATTTGTATTAAAGGTAATGTTATTAATGTTAAAACTATTGGAAGTTATTTGTTATTAAAATGTTGAGGGACTGCAAAAACAATTGACCTGTCACAGGTCTGACCTAACGTTTGGTTAATATAATATAAACGGTGTGCGATAATATAATCTAATTGCATAATTTAGGATAAAGCGACCGAGGTGTTTAACGCGTTTCAAAAGCAACAATCATTAGACACCAAAAAGTATGATTGGAGTGAATTTGATCCGTTTGTCAAAAGACAATTTGAGAAATTGGCGGTCATTGGGACGTCAGCTCTGGAAGGGGAGGACGAGACAAATGTAATTCAATTCAATTAAATAATATCTTTTATTAATTAAATAATAAATTAAAAATTAATTCAATAGTACCTGAAAGCGACGGGTAATATGGAGACGACGTACAGCACCGCCAGAGTATGTGTCAAAGGGAAGTGTGATCTCGAATTGGATCCAGGTATTCATTATGATTAGTAAATAACCATGCTCACATTCTTATTTAATATGATTTTAAAGATTTGGGTAAAATAATGGCCGATTCGAAAGACCCGACAGAGTTAGAGGAGGCGTGGGTTAACTGGAGGGACGCCTCCGGAAAGAAAATGAGAAACGATTTCATAGAGTATTACACTTTAGGCAACAAAGCGGCCACTCTTAACAAACTGCCCGATAAAAGTGTGTAAATCATAACGTTTTATACAAATTGCTTTATAATTAAAATAATTTTAGGCTTTAAGACATTGGATGAGTTATGGCTCTTCCCGTGGGAGACACCGGATATCAAACAACAAACTGAAGACTTGTGGCAAAAATTAAAGCCCTTTTACGAGAAACTTCACGCGTATGTGAGAAAGCAATTGAAAGCAAAGTACCCTGATATAATGCCAAAAGACGGTACAATACCGGCCCACTTATTGGGCAATATGTGGGCTCAGCAATGGAGCAATATTATGAATACCGTTCCCGATGTCGACCCATACCCCGATATTGTAACCATTGATGTGACCGAAGAATTAGTGAAACAAGTATTTCATTTAACCTTTTATTATAAAGAAATTTTTAAGCGTGCTACTATTTTATATTTATTATCCAATTGATTACTATTATAGGAATACGACGCTAAGAAAATGTTTGATTTGTCGGACAAATTCTTTGGCGATTTAGGTCTCGACAAAATGACACCAAGTTTTTGGGATAAATCTGTTATTAAAAAGATACCAAACGTGGAAATGGTCTGGTTAGTTTGTCACTACATAATCATTTTCTATTACTGTATTTTATTTGGTTGTCAATTATTTGCAGTCACGCATCCGCCTGGGATTTCTACGCCACAGCCGGTGATGACTTCCGTATCAAACAGTGCACTAACATTAATATGGAGGACCTGATCACCATTCACCACGAGATGGGACACATCGAGTACTTCATGCAATATAAGACCCAACCCGTCATCTATAGGGACGGCGCCAATGCAGGTCTTGTTTTGGACACTATGTCTATTATTCATAATTTATATAAATCTTCAAAATATTAATAATTTAATTTAATACTAATTATTTAAAATATTATATTTTAGGTTTCCACGAAGCAATTGGTGATCTGTTGGCACTGTCTGTGTCAACACCGGCACATCTTAAAAAGATTGGTCTCTTAACTCTGGATGGATCGGTGGATATGGAGAAAATTAATATCAAATACCAGCTTAAGATGGCTTTGGATAAACTGGCATTTTTGCCATTTGGGTTCATCATGGATAAATATCGGTGGGATGTCTTTTCCGGTACTACTTCTTCAGCCAATATGAACAAACACTGGTGGGAACTGAGGGGTGCATATCAGGGTTTGTCACCGCCTGTAAAGCGAAGCGAGAATGACTTTGATCCCGGTGCCAAGTACCACATTCCAGCCAGTGTTGAATATATTAGGTATTCATATTGTTATATAAATAACCAATTTGCAATCAATATTTCTAGCTAAATAATCATTCTGTATGTTATTTTTAGATACTTTGTATCGCATTTACTACAGTTCCAGTTCCATAAAGCCTTGTGTGCATTCAGTCAAAAGGCTGTTGCCCTTCATGAGTGTGACATTGATGGCGATACGGCTGCCGGCGCTAAACTAAAGTCAGTGTTTATTTTAATATTATCAATATATTTGATTCAAAACTAGTTTCTAACTCATCAACTCATAAATCAATTAGAGAGATGTTAGTCTTGGGCTCATCCAAGCCATGGCCCGAACAGTTGGAGCTCTTGACGGGCAGTAAGAACATGGAAGTCGACTCATTGCTCGAGTACTTTAAGCCATTGCAGACATTTCTGGACCAACAGCTGGTTGGTGAACAGTTAGGCTGGACTTTCAATGGTAACTATACTTCTTTTATTTAACTCTATAGTCAATCACTGAAATATTGAAAATAATTTTATCATTTAAGTAACAATGTGAAATACTGAACTTTTACATTGTCATTGTAGTAATAGATTAGCTCTATATTTTTAATTATAATTTATGATTTTCTTAATTTAGTTGACGATTACTTTGATAATAATCCGATAACCAGTGCTCCAACTACTCCCTCTACTCCCCCGACCACTTCATCGCCTACTTTCCCGACAACCGATGACGCCAAACATGCAATCACTTCAATGTCTCTTATAGTCAGCGCAGTCTTCATATCAATCTCTATATTTCTTTTACATTAATTAATATTATATACAAATTACACGATAATAATAAGTGTAAAATACAAGTAAACGTATTTTCGATTTATTAATAATAATGTGAAATAATGTTCAGTGATTTCAAATATTTAATGGATAATATAAAAATATTATTTAAATCTTAATTTTTTATAATTTTTTATATTACATCTATAAAAATAAAATTAATAATTTAAATTGATTGGACACCTGGTTTACCAGGTATATTTTATTAATATTGTATATAAACTATTGTATATTCAATATTAATGTAACAATCGGCTAAATTGTTTTCTAATTAACTAAATAAACCGACCATAGCCATTAAATTATACTCCTAGGTTATACAAAATAACAAGTATTTTAATGAAATTTGTGACATTCACATATTAAATTATTAAAGTATATTTAAATATTTAAGTAATTAAAACATAAATTGGATTGTTAATTAATTAAAAATGAAGCTTCTTATATTGTTTTTAATAACAATTCGTACAAATGTTGAGTTCATTAACACCACAATAACCAACGAGGGGTTAATAAGAAATGAAAAGGAGGTGATGGCATACCTGGCCGATGTGGACGCAAAATATCTTATCTGGAATAACAAGAAGAGCAAGGTTGATTGGGATTACGGTTCAGATATTAATGACGAACTTTGAGGCAAAAGTATGTATTGAATGGCTTTACAACTTATTTTCCACAATTAAATTCATTACTTTTAGGTCAAAATGATCAAAGAATTCAGTGCATGGAATAAGGAACTGGCGATTGAGCTTAAAAAGTACGACTGGACTCACTTTACACCATATAATAGGAGACAGTTTGAGAAGATGGCGGTTATCGGCACCTCTGCCCTCAATTTAGAGGACGAGAAAAAGGCATTCCTCAATATTATATAAAAATTTACAATTAATTAATTTTGAATCTATAGTAATGCCTTTAAATATCACATGAGAGAGAGAGAGAGAGAGAGAGAGAGAGAGAGAGAGAGAGATTGGTTTAATAGGGTTCGGTGTGGTCTAGTGGTCAGGACGCCTGACATGTAATCAGGAGATCCGGGGTTCGATCCCCCGGTGGCCCCCTTTTAAGACAAATTCTCTTTTCAATGATTTCTAAAACTTTCTATACTTCCAAACCATTTCTCTGATAAGTAAAAATAAGTTATCGAAAAACACCTTAAATGACATTGAACAAATATACAATTCTTAAATTTTTAAGTAATACCAATAATTGATATTTTAATTACTAGTACATTGAAGTGACCAATAAAATGGAATTATTATAATCTTATAATTTTTATACTAAATATATAACATGAAATTTGATTGTACACCTGGATTCCCATATGTATTTTAATAATATTGTAAATGCAATATTAATGTATCAATCGGCTAAATTGTATTCTAATTAATTACATAATCAACCATAAACTGCAAAATTCTAGTATTTATAGATGTATCATGCAAATTCTTAGATTATATCAAATGAAAAGTATTTTAATGCTGTTTGTGACATTTATGTGTAAATACTAATTATATTATATTTAATATGTTATGTAATTTAGAAATATAAATAAATGAATTTGTTAATTATTTAAAAATGAAACTTTTTATATTGTTTTTAATAACAATTCATACAAATGTTGAGTGCATTAACAACACAAAGACCAAAGAGGGGTTAATAAGAGATGAAAAGGAGGGGACGGCATACCTGGCCGATGTGGACGCAAAACTGGTCGCCTGGAATAACAAAGTGTTCGAGGTGAATTGGGCTCACGATTCAGATATCAATGAAATGAATTTGGAGGCTAAAGTGGGTATTCATTGACTTTAAACAAATTCCCGAAAAATTAATTGTTTGCAAAATAATAGGTTAAACTGACCAAAGAATTGAATGCATTTCAAAAGCAACAGTCGATTGAGACTAAAAGGTACGACTGGACTCACTTTATACCATATAATAGGAGACAGTTTGAGAAGTTGGCGGTTATCGGCACCTCTGCCCTCAACTCTGCCGACGAGAAGAGGGTATTCCTCAATATTATATAAAAATTTACAAGTTATTAGTTTTTGACAAACATAATGTTTTCATTTTGAATCGATTTTCTCATTATTAGTTCATTAAAGCTACGAATAACATGGAAAAGATTTACAGCACAGCCAAAGTGTGTGTTAGTGGTAATTGCATGCTTGAATTGGATCCAGGTATATTTATTATTTTCAAACCTACATTGATTAGACATTTTTAATTATAAATATTGATAGAGTTGTTTAATTTTGACAACTTTTGTCGCATAGATTTGACGAAAATAATGAGTGAATCTAAGAATTACAACGAACTCAGGCAGACGTGGGTTAACTGGAGGGACGTTACCGGCAAGAAAATGAGGAGAGATTTCATATCTTATTATAATTTAGGCAATAAAGCGGCCAAACTTAATGAACTGCCAAATATGAGTATTAATACTTATTATGACACATTACTCCATACAAAACCCCTCTCTATTGTTGTGTTTGTTTTTAAATATGAATTAACATAACATAGAGTTTGAGACTTTGGACGACTTGTGGCTCTTTTCGTGGGAAACGCCGGACATTAAGAATCAAACGGAGAATCTATTGCTAGAAATGATGCCCTTCTATGCGAAACTTCACGCATATGTTAGGAAACATTTGAGGAAAGCATATCCCGGCAAAATGCCTAAAGATAAGACAATACCCGCGCACATTTTGGGCAATATGTGGGCACAACAGTGGGATAATATCATGAATACGGTGCCCGGCGTTGATCCATATCCCGACGTACAGACCATTGACGTGACAAAAGAATTAGTGAAACAAGTATAATAAGTTAATAATATTATAATAATATTAATACTTTTATATATTTTCAATAAATTAAATGAACCTTTTTATAATAATTACAATTAAATCCAGAATTATACGGCAAAACGAATGTTTGAATTGTCGGACAAATTCTTTAGTGAATTGGGACTCATGAAAGTGACCGACACTTTCTGGAAGAAGTCTATCACAGAGAAAGCCAAAGACAAAGAAATGGTCTGGTTAGTAGTTGCTTGGTGAAACATACATATTATAAATCTAGATGAGATAAATCTAGAAATATTAGCCATAAATTTGATGAGAATTAAATTAATTTATATATATGGCTATACATATATTTATATATATATATAGCCATACTTCCGCCTGGGATTTCTACGCCAAAACTGGTGATGATTTTAGGTATAGTCAGTCAAGTCATTAGTAGTCAGTTAAATAAAATGATTGATAAATAGGATAAAAATGTGTACCGAGATCAATATGAATGACTTGATTGTAATCCACCACGAGATGGGACACATCCAGTACTACATGCAATACAGTAGCCAACCAGCGGTGTATCGCGAGGGCGCTAATCCAGGTCTGGACTACAATCAAGTGATTTATATGAATGACTGCTTTATAATAATTATTTATTTTAATAGGTTTTCATGAAGCAATTGGAGATCTGTTGGCATTATCTGTGTCGACACCAAAACATTTGCAGAAAATAAAACTTTTAAAAATCGACAATTCGGTAGATATGAAGAAAATAACGATTAAATACCAGTTGAAGATGGCGTTGGAGAAGATAATGATACTACCCTGGGCATTCTTAATGGATAAGTATCGGTGGGATGTGTTCTCTGGTAAGACAGCACCCGCTCATCTGAACAAACACTGGTGGGAACTTAGGGGCAAATATCAGGGTATATCACCACCTGTCAAACGAAGCGAAAAAGACTTCGATGCCGGCGCTAAATATCATACGGCAGCCGGTATTGAGTACATCAGGTATTTATGAAAATAATTTTCAAAATGCTTAAAATAACATTTAATATAAATGATAATATTATATTATATAAATAAATATCAATATAATATAAATGTTTAGGTATTTCGTGGCAGATATACTACAGTTCCAGTTCCACAAAGCGTTGTGTAGTTTCAGCCAAAAGGATGTTCCCCTCCATGAGTGCGACATCGATGGCGACAAAGCGGCCGGAAATCTATTAAAGTTTGTCACCATTACTATTATACACGCTTTTAAATGATACTTTTGATAGGAATGTCCTAAGATTTGGTTCGTCCGAGTTATGGCCAAAACAGTTAAAATTCTTTACCCGAACCGAGAGAATGAATGTCCAGCCGATGATCGAGTATTTCAAACCATTGATTGAATTTTTGGATAAAAACTTGGAGGGCGAGGAACCGGACTGGGAGTTCAATGGTATGATTAACACTGGTGTTTAGTTATAACTTGGTTATTTATGAATAATTAATTGGTTTCCAGTTGACGACCACGTCAATAGTCCAGTGGTTTTTTACAACTCATTAGGAGTTATTAAAAAGAGAAAGCATGCTCATTTAGTTCACTAATTTATGTATGTTTAATTTTAGCGCATTTATTAAATTTTATTTTCAAATAAATAACAGTAATTAATTATTATTTTGTATTTAAAAAATTATTTTTAAAATCATTTGGTAATATAAAATTTACCTTTATTATTAATGTTTTAATACTGTAACAAATCTAATTGGTATTTATTACAAGTCTATGAATATTTTATATATAAATATTATTATAAACTCAATTGCCAATTTAATTAAAATAATATTATTGCAAAGAATACAATAGTTAAATATAATTTTAAAAATAGTCAAATTCATGAATAGATTAGTATTTTGTGTATAAATGGATTCAATTGCAAACACACATGCCGTCTATTTTCTGTTCACACGTGCCTTTCATGTGGTCCTTAACGCAAGAATCGGTACACTTTTGTGGCACACAATCACCACAAACACAGAAATTGACGGTTTCTCCCGATTTACAGACGCCGTCCGCATAGCCGTTGTTAACACACTTGACATTACACTCCTGTTTCTCGCAAATACTTTCGGCAAACAGTTTCAATCTTCGAGTTTCTCCACTCACCGCCACTATTAAGAAATAAATGTTTATTTCAGTTAATTTTTCAAACTATTTCAAATTAACATTTTCAATTGTCTTACCTATCATAGCAATGGCTACAAAAATTAATAGTAAGTTTTTGTTCATTTTTAAATGATATTCTAGTTATGTTTTGAATTTTTTATTCACAATAGTGAACTAATACACGAATCCTTTTATATACTAGAATTAAGCAAATAATTATCATATGCAATCTATAATATAGATTGAAAATTACTGGAAAATTACCCAATTTAATATTTGATAACCATATGACATAATCTCATAGTCAATATCGAAAACCAAGTGTGTTAATTCTATGTTACTACATGTCTACTTGATTTAACAATTTATTAATAATTTAAGAGTTAAATGAATGTTAGTGGTAGTGGTGATCCCATTATTACGGTAAACACATTGACAACAATTATCACATCAAAAGGCAGCAAAAGTGTGCACAAAATAATCACAATTATTTAAAATTTAATAATTCGTGTCATCCAATGCCCCACAAGAAGATCTTGATTACTGTTGAGATATTTTCTTTAGCAATAATTAATTTGTAGTAATACAAGTTAAACATTTAATTGTTTTAAAATTAAATGCAGATGATTAAATTACAAACATGGAAAATTGTAATATTTAAATGCAAATTATTAAATTAATATTTGCACTATAATACACAGTTAAATAAATATTTATTGTCTACATATTTATTTGAATAAATTAATCAAAAATAAATGGCAATCAAAACTATGCAAAAGCATTTGTTAAAACTAATTGTTTTCTCCATAAAGAACTTTTACAAAAAATAATACTGTCCAGGGCAATTTTGTACAATACAAATAAACTATTTTATATCTCATCTAATGAATCAAAATCAATAACAAATTTATTAGTATTATGGCCGTTATTATGATTGTTATTATTTCTCAATTGAACGATAGTCTCGTTGACAAACTTTCTCAGATCAGTTCTGTTCACTTTACCACTGATGGTCTTTGGGATCTCGTCCACGATATATAACTCTTCGACGGTTATCTTCTGTTGCATTAAATGGTCTGCAAAACAGTTTTCAAAATAATTCATTTAATTCATGATAAATATTTGCATTTTTAAATACCATTAATAAAGTGTTTCAACACTTCAGTCATATCGCTATCGTCTTCATTAATAAGCGATTTGTTATTATTGTCATCACTTTTCTTGAGGACTACCAGTGCTGTAGGCGTCTGTCCGTACGTGCGATGAAAAGCGCCAAAAATAGCCACTTCTTTGACGTTATAATGCGACAAAAGTATGGCCTCTAAAGACGTGGGACTGATATGAAGGCCTCTGTATTGTATGAAGTCGTCGATGGGATCAACAATTTGTAGCTTATGGTTGCGATCATAATATCCGATATCATTGGTGTGGAACCAGCCGTCGCTGTCTATGGCATCGACCAGTTCTTCAGAGAGACCTCCGTTTGAAGCGCCTGTCGTTAAGTATCCGTTAAATAGTTGAGGGCTTTTCACGCAGACTTCGCCCACTTGTGCCGCACCTAAGGCTATATCAGTGTCCGTATCGACAATCTTGATGCTAACTGATGGCACCGGTATCCCACAGGTCTCATTGTCAGAGCTGCCTATGGGCTCAATAGTCACAAAACCGCACATCTCTGTCATACCATAGGATTGCCTAAAGTCTTGAATACTGTATTTAGTAACAAACTTATGGCCAATGTTTTTAGGCAACGAACTGCCGGTGCAAATGACTTTTCTCAAGGACTTGATAGTAATGGGCTCCAAGTGGTCGTCTTTGATCATCTCAATGATGGTCTGAGGGGTGAACATAGCGGCGCTGACACGCCATTCCTCTATGGCTTCGCATAAATGCGCTGAATTTGTCAGCAAATTATTTTTGATGACAACAAACTGAGAGCCAGTGGTTAGGGATGAGAACAATTGGATCAGACCATTGATGTGTGTGAGAGGTGTGGTGTTGAGCACAATGTCAGTTGAGCACCAATTAAAGCCAGTGACCGGCAATGAGCTGATGGTTAACTGCGATAAGAGATTGTAATCTGTTATGAAACAGGACTTGCTAAACCTCCGTAGCTTTGACGGTAAACACAGCTAATCCTCTGTTAACAAGTGAAATCCTAGTTAACTAAATTACTGTGGCTATACACTGAGCAAACACGTGAACACTGATCAATACACTGAAGATATTGACTTGTATTCATCCGTTAGATCCGTATCTCTTTTGCTGTCAACGGACGAGTCATTGTCTTCATTACTGAATGAGACGATTGTCTAAATGAATGACAAAATTTACAAATTATACAAACAATGAAATCTCTAACTCTATAGCAAATGACTACAAAATCTATAAATTTATTAATAACAAAATTTCTCATACTTTTAGTCCTCTGTGAAACTTCTTGAGGGATTCATTAGACAATGATTTTTGATTCCGTGTCGTTATTGTCATACATTTTATTTGCTTATCTTTAATTAGTTGTGAAATTGTGTCTAAAAATAATATTCATATTAATATTACTTAATTACATGAATATTAGAGTTCATTACCAACAGATGTGTCGGCATTGATAGGAACGGCAACTCCGCCGACAATTAGGCCACCGATTAATGTAGTGATGAATTCATAGCCATTATGACCAATATTACTTAATTACATGAATATTAGAGTTCATTACCAACAGATGTGTCGGCATTGATAGGAACGGCAACTCCGCCGACAATTAGGCCACCGATTAATGTAGTGATCAATTCATAGCCGTTATGACCGCAAACCCCGAAGTGTTGGCCCTCTTTCAGGCCATTAGTGGACAATACGTGAGCCATACGGAGGCTATCGTCGGCCACTTCATTGAAAGTATACGTATTTTTCGTCTCATTTTCTATCTATCAATAAAAATATTGCAAATTCTTTACGAAATGTTTGGAAAACTTCACGAATATAATGAATATTTACTAAAAAAGTTTTTGACGAATGAAATCTCAACTTCTCGATGAGAAACCTGGAAATAGGGACCAAAGGAATGGCTATTTTCGGATACTTCGAGTCAATTATGTTATTATTATTGCTGTTATTATTGGCAGTCATCGTCTCATAACTCTCTATTCAATGGCAATTAAATTGAATTTGTATTACACATCAGACACACAATCACTGCAATGTGACAATTATTATGGCAATAATGAACATTCAAAATAAAATGTATTTATATATTAAACGCTATATAACTAGGAATTAATGGATTCGTGCAGTCGTTGCGATACAATACACTTGTCGTTGAATTTTGATTTCGATTCAAAAAATAGCAAAAAATAAAACTACAAAACAATTCTTAAGCGAAATGTCAAATAAGAGTCGAGGCATACGGTATATACCGAGAGTGTATGTCTGGTAAATGTGTGGTTGTTTGACTTGTAAACCAATATAGTGTATAACAATTTGTGCATCTATTATTCATTTTCATGTATTATCTTATCGTAGTTTTTAGAGTTGACTTTAGAGTAGGCATTCAGCACTGAAAACCTTTGATAAATAGCATTATGTGTTGCATTGTTAGGGAATCGAGAGATTAGTGAATATAAATATTTGTGTACAAAAAACATTCATTTATTACTTCCTAACACTATATAAATTGTTTGCCGTGTTTTTCGTATTCACTTTATCCATGTATTTGTTAATCGCCTTTAAAAATAAAATTAATAAAATTTAATAATTATGAACAACAACAAAAATAATTTATTTGCAAACAAATATTTTATTGAATAAACAAAATGTTTGTCAAAAACAAAACAAAATCTGTCGACAATTTATTATTTGATTCTCTGGTTTCTAATATTTGTATGAAATATATTTGAAAATAACTCAAACATTAAATAAATTAAAAATCAACACTTACTTTACACCAAATACCAATTTCTAAAATAATAATTGTGATAGCTTATTTATAAATGTTTAGTTTTGTAATCATTTTGTCGGACGTAGTGTAGGCAACATAAAAGGCAAAACTATTTAGATATCCTTTCATAACATTATCTTATTTACTATTTAGTTTGAATTAAAAGTTTAGTATATGATTGAATAACCTGATGATAATCTTTTAAATGTTGATAAGATAGCACCTAGCACCTACAAATAATTGAAATAGGATATATGTTTTTATATTTACAACAATTTTGACATGTTTAAATAATTTGTGTTTAGTCTGGGATTTAATAGAATAAGGTAATTAACAAATGATTAAATTAAGGGAAAACAATATTTTGTAATATTCGGTTGATTTCCTATCAAATGTTGTCATCTATTGTGTATATTCTCAAAGTATTGCAAACATATTATACCTATTATGCGAACTCATGTTTAATCACATAATATTTATATCATCAAACTAAGTTATGTGTTATTTCATGTGTCATTGAATATTGAATGTAATATTAAAACGCAAATTAATGACAATTCAAAATGTTAAGTCTAATAAAGTATTAAATATATACAAAATTTTTCCACTATTAGTTAAGTCATGAGATGTGAAACTAATTAAGATTGCTATTACTAGCTATTTAAATAAAGAATTAATTCCCTTATAATTGAAATCTTATTATTATCACACAAATTAAAAATAACTTAAATTACACAAATTATGAACAAATAAATAAGTAATAAACTTAAACTTATAATTGTTTTTGACAGCTGTAGTCAAATAGAAATTGAATTAACTCGTTTGATAATATAATGGTATAAAATTTGATTTTCGAATTACCTTTTATATTCACAAACATTTGTATTCCGCTATGCATTATTTCTAATAGTAACTACTATTGATAAAAACGATAATACTGTTGATAACTTTGAAAAAGGTCTAACAAAAAATTGTTAATTACAAAAATATAGTCATAATAAATTTAGTAATATGGATGTAACAAACAATACTGGGTTTCGGGTTATAGTAAATGCAAAAAATGAAAAACCTATCAAACATTACAATCAAAAATTTTACGCCATGCTTAAGCCCACTCTATGGATATTACGATTTGTTGGCGGACCCACTGGTCTCTGGAGGGTTGACCATGGATTCTGGAGGACTATGATATCTAATATTACGGCACTATTGATGCTTCTGGTGCTTAATGCCACTGTAGTCTACCAATGCTACCGAACCGTAAGGACTGCCTCACGAGGCGCATGGAGTTTCGACGAAAACATAAAGCTTTTCTTCGTGTTGGCTTAGAAGCCCTGTCCCCAATGTCGCGACCTGGAGAACACCGAGTCTGCCCTTCGCAACTTTTCAAATAACTTAAATTATCTGAAGCTCGGTTTCCATACGCTTCACAAACTGCTGCTTTTGTTAGCGATGAATCGCAAGAAGATTAAGAAGAAGACCATAAAATTGCTTATATTTATGCTATTATTCACTACATTTGTTATCAATCCTATGGATTTAATTTACGATGACTTCTATAGTGATGAGTATACAATCTTTCACGACTACCAAATCTATACTATACTGGAAATTACAATGACTTTCGCGTCGGTGGCATTTGGGACTATATTAACCTTTTATTTGACCCTTTCGTGGATTTTTCGCCTAAAAGTGTGTCGAATCGTAAGGTATGTCAAGAGGAATCTGATCGAAGAGGCATCAAAGGGTCGAAACCCGAAGTCAAATGAGCCGAAAGTCATTGAAGTGTGGTTCACAACGTATGCCGTCTTATTCAAGAAATATGATTTGATTTTCAAGCAAATCGCTGGTCTTATATATGTAGTGATGATGTGGGCGGTGCTGTCAATGTCCGACCAAATTATCATCTTTTTCACTAAGCAGGATAAATTCTTCAACTTCTTTTATATGTGGATTCATGAGCTGTTGTGTACAATAGTCTTGGTATATTTCCTATTTTCGGTGTCTGGTGTTGAGCACACGTTAACCAAACTTATGAAACAACTCTTTCATTTGGCACTTATTGTCAAATTTAATTATTATGACTCTAAGCTCAACTGTGCCAATAAATTAGCCCAACATGTATGTATATTTTAAAAAATTACATTGTAAATAATGTATATTAATTTATAAAATTATTTTAAAACTAATTATTTTATTTTGACTTTACTTCCAGTTCAAACTATTGGCTGAGACTATATACCAAAGTTGTCTGAATTTATCAATTTTTGGTTTGGTACACATAAACCGCGGTTTAATCATAACTACCTTTAGTTTTCTAATCACATATACTATTCTTGTATATCATATGAATGAATTGACCAAGGATGACCACATAAATCCAACCCAAAGCTCTAATACTACTAACAGTACTAATACTACTGATATATATGATAATTTTACAACCATTTGTTGCTTTAATAATTCACTTATTTAGCAATAACTTAATTTATATTTTACAATTTATTTATTAATAACATTATTATATTGTTTGTAAAATTAATGATTGCACAAATATGTATTATTCTGTTTATTATGAAAATTTGCAATTCCTGGTATATTCAATAAAAATAAATTTAAAAATCACTTCAATGATAGATATAATACTAAGCTATTATCTCATTTGAACTTTCTAATCTACAGTATTCTACACTATTAATATATTGGTGAATCAATAAAATATTAAAGATTATATAAAATAAATTTATAATATTATTTTAGTAATTAAACTGATAATATTTGATTTGTTGATTTTCGATATAATACTTTGTAAGTTATATAATTTATATTTGTGGGTTAAGTAAATATTATAAGTTTAATCGATTAACTACCACTTAAAGTTAATGTACAAAAGTAAAATAGTAAAACAAAAATGGCATATTAATTGGAAAATATATAGATTAATTAGTCGAGTTACTAACCCAAGTAACAATTACCTAAAGATTTAAGTTTATAAATAATCAAAATTGTAACTAGAACTTTATATTCACGACGAATTTGTTTTGTTTAGAGCTAACTAAATTTATGAGATTACGAACCAATTAAATGTCAAATATGTTTGCACAGTTTTCTAAAATTTAATTCTTTATTTGCAAATACAATATAAATTAATTAATAAAGCATTGAAACGGCAAATAACATAATAATTCATTTAGTGAGCCACGGCTATGGAAGTCAATACAATTTGTAGCTTTGGTTCAAAACAAAAGGGATGCAAAACTAATCAAAACTTTTATTCAATATTAAAGCCTACGATATTTGCGCTGAGATTCACGGGCGGACCGACCGGTTTGTGGCGATTGTGTCGAAAGAGACATATTATTTGGCAAAAGATTAGCCAATTCTTGGCATTTCTATTTCTGGTGGCCATCAATGCCGGTGCCGTCGATGACTGCTTCGCCACATATCAGTCACTCATACAACCGGACCGTAGTTTTATAGACAACGAAAACCTCTTCTACAGTCTGGCCCTCAATATCACGGGTGCGCTCGCGCTCGACATACTCTGGTATAGGAGACAACTATTGCGGGAATTGCTTGATATGATTGATTTGGAGCACAGGATATGCATTATGTTTGACGAGGAGATCCGGCGCGCCAACGCCCGTATCATCAGGAAAAAGTCGTGCGGTATGTTTGTGTTCATGGTCTCCTACGCCTGTTATACCATCTATTCTGTGATCGCCTCCTCCGACAAAAGCAATATTGTTAAGCCAGATAACCGTATTCAAGAGATTCACTGCCTAATTGTATACATCATTAGATGTTTGTCCGTTTTTGTATTCTCTATAATCCTATCGTTTTATATATCGCTTTCGTGGGTCTTTCGGCTCAAAGTTCGCCGAATTAACCAACACTTGAAGAAACAGTTGTCTCAAGCCACCAATAATGCCAACCCTGCCGTTAATGATAGCGCTAAAATCATTGAACTCTGGTTCAGGGCTTATATCATTCAGTCCAAGAAGTTTGAGACCATATTCAAACAAATAGCCGGCATGTTTTATATGGTTATGATTTACTCCATACTATCGTTGGCACAGATTGTCATGTCTGCTCTTTTGAACAATTTGATGAACATGTCTAAAATGAAACTCATATGTGATGGGATCGCCAGTCTAGCCATTATTGTTTACTTCTTGTATTCGGTGTCTATTGTGGAACACTATTTACTAAAAGTGGTTCGACTTCTGTATCAATTGTCGCTAACAATCAGATTCAGATCCGATGATAATGA